GTCTCGGGCGCCCCGTTTCCTGGGGAGTGGGCCCAGCTGGGCCGCCGCGCGCTGCCAGCCTCGCAGCTGTTGGAGTTTTGGTGTTTCCCCTTGTTTCCGTCCATGACGGTGTCACTTGTGCCTCTGGGTCCTCGTCTGCCACCCCGAACGTGTCCGACCTGGCGGTTCGGGAACTCGTCATGTGGTTTGTGGACTCCTCCCCAGCCCAGGCCCGTCCAGAGGGGACCGCTCCCCACCCCTGTGCTGATGGGCGACTCCTCGTCGCAGAGGTGCTCAGTGCTCAGCCCCACTCCCGCAGCTCACAGGGCGCTTAGACCGCGGCAGCCACGTCTTCTTGCTGGAGCCTGGACGGCGGGGCTGCAGCCAGTGCCTGGCTGCATGCTCCCTGCCTGGTTCCTGCCGCGTGTGGCCAGCGATATCGTCCCTCCCGTCTGACACCAGCGCCTAGAGAGAGGCCAGTGTCTCTGTCCTCCTGCCCGGGAGTCCTCGCCCCCACCCATGACCCATCTTAGATCTCCGTGCGCCGTGACTTCCAGAAATGTCTGCACCACCGTGGACAGGGCAGTGGCTGACCATTGGTTCAGGACAGTCTGGGTTAAGAAATTGCACAGCAGGGCTCAGTGTACAGAGACCCAGACTGTTAGAGGTGGACGGAGCACAAAGACTGTCTAGTTGAATCCTTTCACGCTGCTTCTGACGGATTTGACACAGAGCCATGGAGTGACTCGTCCACAGTCGCACAGCCGGTGGGCCTCGGACACGCGCGTGACCGCGGGTGTGGTAGAACCGTGGGGAGTACAGCAGGCCCCCAAGGGTCCTCTTTGCTGTTGTCTGTCCACGTTGAACATTTAACTTAACCTTCTCAGGACCTGAACGTGTGTGCAGAGCACAGTTGGTCTGACCCCAGAGGCACTTCTGCCTGTCGCGCCATGAGGCTCCCCGGTAGCTGTGTGACCTGCTGGACGAGCATGTTGAAACCGGAGTGTGTCGGACTGTGGGCCGGCCGCAGTCCCCCTCCGTCCCGCCTGCCTCCCCGGGGCAGGCTCCCTATGGGCCTGGCTGCAGCAGAACCGCTGTCTTGAGGTTTAGGAGAAGGGCTTCCAGGATTTTCATTTCTGTGCTCAAAGCTCGGTTTCTATGCCTTCTGTCCTTGCCCGGCTCATTCACTACCTGTTCTTTTTCAGTGTGACTGCCTGAGCCCACAGGGATGGGAGGCACCCGTTTGGCTCTGTTTTGAGAAATAAAGGAAGTCAGGACATTTTCAGTTTTCTTGACTCCCGCATCCAGAGCTTTATCTACGAAGCTCTTGAGCAGGTTTTTTTGGGGGGTGTGGGGTGGGGGGAGGGCTGTAATTTTAACTAGGCAAGAATGTAAAACAAAAAAATTGTCATATGACTAAATTACATCCCAGTGCATCTTTTTAGACGATGAAAAATGCTACCAGGTGTACGTGATGGCAAGAGAGCGGTGAAAATACAAGTTGATTATCTTGGATGCGAAGCTCTTTTAGACTGAAGTAGAGCTGCTTGACAGCGTTGCGTTCTTTCTGGTGTGCGGCGCGGTGAGTCGGTTACACACGCCATACCCTCTGTGGCTGTAGGGTGTTACAGGCTGTTTGTTGAAGGCAGCTCCCTGTGCTGTGCAGTAGGCCCTGGTTGTTTATCTGTTCTGCACACAGTAGTTTGGATCATAAGGTGACTTTTCAAGTCAGCATCCTTTCTGGTGGCTTCATCCGATGTGGGGAGGCGAGGGGGAGGGGGATCATAAGGTGACTTTTCAAGTCAGCATCCTTTCTGGTGGCTTCATCCGATGTGGGGAGGCAGGGGGAGGGCGGAGTGGGCAGGGAGCCCTCGCTGGCAGGAGAGGGCGGCCTGGCCTTCCGCGCGGCCCACACCCCAGGCTGGTGTCCCGGAGGGAGCTCGCATACGTGCTGGCAGGTGGCGCAGGGCCTGCTCCGTCCTGGGAACCCACACCGTTTCCTGAGCCTCTGCTGAGCATCTCTGAAAACAGGGAAGGAGTCAGAGACCGATTTGGTCTTTTCCCTTTAGTCTGCCTGGACTGTCCACGAAGCTTCGCCCTCACTGAAGGCAAGCGGTGGCGTTTGCTGAGGGTGAGCAAACAGGAAGTTGCCGCGGGAGGTGGCATGCTGGGGGCTCACGCGTGAAAAGACTTCTTTCCCCAAGAAGTTGATAGGTGAGCAAGGAAGGTGATGGTAGAAGCAAAGAAGAGAAGGAAGAAGGAACGTGAGGCTCACAGTGACCTCAAACAGCAGAAAGCTTCGAGGGCACTGCTTACCCTGTTTGGCTTCAGAAAGCGAGGGTTCCCTGAGGCCACAGAGGCCGGGCACGGGCTGGACACAGGCTGGACAGGGCAGGACCGGTCCTGGGCCGACACACCACCCTGCTTGTTCTTAAGGAGTCTGAGTGAGGGGCGTGGACCCCACGTCAGGGCCCTGGGCTGGGCTGCCTCTGAGCGTCTCGTCCGAAGCCACGGTGTCTTTGGCACCCGGGTGCTGACAGCGCACCGTCTGGTTGAGTGTTTTTAGAAGATGCTTTGGGTCCAAGCTCTCTCCTTGACGTCTCCTGCACAGCACTCTGGGTGACACGGGGGTGAGTGGGGCCCAGCCTCTCTTTCCGGGAAAGCCTCGCTGACCGAGAGGCTGCACGCTGACGGCCCCGCCCGCGCCCAGGCTGCGCGGCACCGAAGACCCTTCCCACAGCCTCTGGGCCGTCCCTTGTCTCCTCTTCGGAAACTTAGGGTTTTGCTGTCGCTTCTGTCCTCAAGTGGACCCGCCGCCGCGTGTCGTTTCTCCTGACCCCGGCCCTTCCCGGGGCGCAGACGGCTTCCCTGAGGCGCCGGCAGGGGTTTGAGGGGCTTAGCCCGCGAGGGCCCCGTGGGGCCGGGTGGCTGCCGCCTCGCAGCGGGCCCGGCCCCCGCTCACCTGCCCTGTTGTCCGCAGTGTGCAGGCGAGGAGAACTGGGTGGACAGCCGGACCGTCTACGTGGGGCACCGGGAGCCCCCGCCGGGTGCCGAGGCCTACATCCTGCAGAGGTTCCCGGACAACCGCATCGTCTCCTCCAAGGTGAGCGCCGTGTGCCCGCTAACCTGCCCGCACAACTCCCTGCTGTTGCTACTTATTTTTTTAGTTTTTATTTGAATTTTGTTGGGGGAGGTAATCAGGGTTTATGTATTTACGTATTTTAATGGAGGCGCTGGGGGTTGAACCTGGGACCTTGTGCACGCGAAGCACGTGCTCTGCCGCTTAGCTGCACCCCCCCTCGGGTCATTACAATTTAACACAGGTCCAGAGGCACTTGGGCCACCGCCCCGTGGTGCCAGCCCCCGTATGTGCAACACGGCCTCGTCGTGTTTTACTTTATCCATGCAGCGCTGACGTCTGCAGTCACGAATGTTTAAATTATCTCCCTGGGTGTTCGCTTTTGTTGTCACACATCATCAGGGACTTTTGACCACGTCACTAATGATCCGTGGTAGTGATTGATAACAGCTGCCTGTGCTGTGAAGCACGGAGGTCACACAGCCTCGTGTCCAAGCTGCAGTGCCGGCCTCCTGCGCCTGCCTGGAACAGAGTCGGTCAGCGGGGTTAAATTCCACGTCTGCACCTGGCGGACTCTACCTGGTGGAGCAGGACTGGGGAGCTGAACGGTGTCCTGAAGCGGGGGCATCACACTGGGGCGAGAGCGGGGGTTCACGCAGCACGCCAGAGCTACCAGAGCCCGACCTGCACGCTCGGAAGGACTGTAGACGCTGACATTCTGTGTTGTAAATACGTGAAGCTTTCTAACGCGGAAACTTTCAGAAACATAGAAAAATAGGAGGGCGCTGTGACAGGTGTCTGTGCTGCCCCCGCTGTCCCCCGCTGTCCACCGCTGTCAGCAGACGGCCCGGCCTGTCTATTCTGTGCGGCTTTCTTCCTCGAGGTCATTTTGGAGCAAATCCTAAACAGTGTATAATTTCTGTCTGTAAACGTCGCAGCAGATGGAAGACGGGGTCAAGTGGGAACTGCTCCTCTAACGTGCCTTTGTGCTGAGCAAGGCGGTTAGGTGTTTGGGGGAAGTGTTTCAGTTAACTCCTGGGCAGTGAGTGTGCTGCTGGGCAGGGCTCCACCGATGGGACCCCAGGGATGGCAGCCCCGCTTTGGGGTCAGTGTCCCTCAGAACGGAGCACGTGAGGAACGAAAGGCCGCTCTAGGCTGGTCACAGAGCCCCAAACACGAGACGCAAGTGCTGCAACGACGTACAGGTCTTCCAACAGCTCCTTTTGAGAGTTAGTGAAAAGTCAGTGGCGCTCCTGTATGCCAGCAACAAACGACTGGAATTTGAAATTAAAAAACACCACCGTTTTCCAAGAACTTGCGTGGCGTCTGGCATGAAAGGAGCCCTTGGGGTGAGAGTCGGGTCACCAGCGCCTGGATCCGAGGTGCCAGCTCCGGCCCTGACGGGAGCTGACCGAGGTCCCTACCGCTCCAGGTGCCAGAGGTGATGAGGGCCCCCACGCAGCCGGGCGGAGCAGCGCGCTCTCCTCAGGGCACGATCTTCAGCAAAAGGCAGAACTGTCCGATGGAATTTTAAAAGCAAGGTCCCGGCTCCGTGTTTGCTGAAGGGTGACGACACCTGGGAGACGTCTTCCACACAGAAGTCAGGGAGACGCCTCCTTAGGTGAAAGCGAGACGTTTGGAGAATGAGGGGCCCAGCTACCCTCCCCCCGCCCCCCGCGAGCAGGAGGGGCCGACCCAGACTGTTGCCCGCCTGGCTCGAGACCACCTAGAAATGGTGGCTGTGTTACTTCCCGTCACCTCCTCGTCACACTGTCACAGAGAGCGAGCTTGCCGAAGCTGACCCGCAGGGCACGATGCTGACCACGTGTGTTCTGAGTCACCGACCAGAGCTTCACACTTGATGAAAGACATTTAATTAGTAAGACTATTCTTAAGCCACTTTGCGTTACTTAAATTACCTGAAATTAGGTAACACACACGCCATTTTTGGAGCGCACGTTCTGGCTGTTTGTTTTTATGGTCGTCCAGTGGGTAAAATGTCTGCAGACTGTCAGCTTTGTTTTGTATCTAAAACTAGACGTTTTGTACTTCAAAATACACCGCTCATCCTGTGGTTGATTAACACAGCAAAATGTGAAATGTGGCCAAAATGACTCCTTTCTGTTCTCTTGTGCACAGTACACGTTCTGGAACTTCATTCCCAAGAACCTGTTTGAACAATTCAGAAGAATAGCCAACTTCTATTTTCTTATCATATTTCTGGTGCAGGTAAGGCTGGTCATCCTCTTCAGTGGCCTGAAATGTGCGTCTGAGTAAGGGACGTTGTTCCCAGGTGACTGGCTGGTTTGCTGACAGGGAGCGAGCAGGGCTTCGTGCCCCCTTCTCGGCAGCTCCTTCACTGCTTTTCCTCGAGGACAAGCATGTCAGAAACCTGGTCACTGAAACGCAGGTGTGAGGGCCTCGCGTGTGGGCCCGTGCTGGACACCTGTCTTCATCCTGGAGTCCTGGGGGGAGCCGGGAGCGTCCTAATTTGGGGGCACGTTCACCAGCCACACTGGATTATGACGCTGGCTGCGTTTCCCCTGTTCCTAAGTTCCTGTGATCTCCTAAAAACATTAAGAGAAAGAGTGAAAAAGAGTGAGAACCACAGTGAGGTATGAATTAAGGAGAGGTCGGGTGTGTTTTAGAAACAGCCTAATTGTTCTCAGTCGTAAAAAATACAGTGGAAGGACTTTTACAATTTCCAACAGTAATTTACCCAAATAACGTAATGAAGATGGGGCGCCAGCAGCAGGCCAGACTGAGGCAAAACACAGCCTGGAGGCAGCGCGTCTCTGCCGCGGGACCTGGTTTCCGTACACACGTCCCATAATTAAGGAGAACGGCCCTTGGTTTTGTCGTGAGATAAGCTGGTTTCCTTTTTATGTGATTCATCTGAGGCGCTGGGATAAAGTGGGTCCCAGCAAGCGCTGGGGGGCGTGACGGGGCAGCCGGCCCGTTGAAGCCACTGACGGCCCCACGCTCTCTTTCCACGGCAGCTGATCATCGACACCCCCACGAGCCCGGTGACGAGCGGCCTCCCGCTGTTCTTCGTCATCACCGTCACGGCCGTCAAGCAGGTGAGGCGAGGCAGGCGTGCAGGGGCCACACGGGGCCCCCGCCAGCTGGTGCCGCCTTTCCTCCTCGGGCAGGCCGTAGGAAGCCGCTGCCAGGCATCCCCCGGTGCGACGGTCCAGGCCCACGCTTGAGCTAAGATCAGGGGGACGACCTAGCCGAGTGCTAGTTTGGTGCCTGAGAGTAGGAGGAGGAAACTCGTTCTCAAACTGAACCCGCCAGACTCGGCACCTGGCTTCCGGTGACTTGCTTCACCCCATGTCCTCGGAGGTCTGACCCCAAGGACCTGCTGCTACCGAGGTTCTGGGTGTGGCCGACTCCTGACTCGCTCAGTGGGTCGTGCTGTTCTCTGCGGTCCTGACGAGTCAAGCCAGGGACTGACAGGAGGAACAGTCCGCAGGGATTTCCCACCACCGGTGCAGCTAGATTAGTGCTCAGCCATCACCTTTATGGGTCCAGAAAGTTCCGGTCGCCTCCGAGGAAAGCCGGTCCCTGTGAGCGTCACTCCCCACCCCCGCCTCCAGCCCCTGGCGGCCACCAGTCTAATCTGTCGCTGCAGTTTGCCTGTTCTGGACGTTTCACAGTCGGAGTCGTAGGCTAGTGGCCTTTCGTGTCTGGCCCGGTCCACCGGGCGCTGCATTTTCAAGGTTTATTCACGTGTGGCCGGTGCCAGTGCTTCATTCCCACGATGGGCAACACCCCATTGTGGGGACACAGCACGTTTTGTGTGTCCATCGCCACTGGTGGACGTTTGGGATGCTTCTGTTTGAGAACGTTAAGAACCTTCGCATCCAAGTTGTGTGTGGACACAGGTTCAGTTCTCCGGGGCACAGACGAGGGTGGAGTCATGGGAACAGCACGGCTCGTCTGCTCTAAGGGCCGCCGGGTGCTTCCAGGGTGACGGCCAGGGCAGGGGCCCGGCTCACGCTTCCCCTCCGTCCCAGGGCTACGAGGACTGGCTCCGCCACAAGGCCGACAGCGCCGTGAACCAGTGCCCCGTCCACTTCGTCCAGCACGGCAAGCTCGTCCGGAAGCAGAGCCGGAAACTGAGGGTGAGTCAGGACCGACCCCTGTCCGGCTTCAGACCCGGAGCAGTGACCAGACAACCTCGCGCTGCGTTTACTTTCTTTGGCAAACCCTTTGTCTGCGGTTGTCTTACTCCTTAGGTGTAGACCCAGCCTCTTCCCCCGTGACCTCTCACTTCAGGCAGGCCCCCCACCGGCTTTTCTTTTTTACCCTTTTTATGTCTGCATTTTTCTGTAACGCTGTAACAGACTTTGTCTCTGGAGCAGGTGCCGGGTCACGGCAGATTGGGGGGGGGGGTCCAGAGCTTCCGTGGCCCCGCCACCCCGCTCCCAGCAGGGTGTGGAGCCTGGAGCCGGTCCTGCCCGTCGGCAGGGAGCCTGGAGGCGCTTGCAGAAAACGTGTTCCGCTGTAAGGCCAAGTCCTGTTAACATGAGCAACTCCACTGGTTGGAAGTTTGTGAAAGCGGGGACAGAAACTTCACTGAAAGCTGCATTTTAATTTCTTTTTTTTTCCAGTGGATTATTGGAGTAACAGTGTCTCATACGTTTAAATGTGTTTACATTATTAAAGTCAGTTATTTTCAGATCTCTGGTGGCCTATAGAAACACCTGTGTGTGTGCAGACGACAAATACGGTTTTTACTGTTTGTCCCCGAGCTGTGTTTAGCCGTGAGCCTGGGGACGGAGCCTGGCCAGCCTCCCCTCCTCCTCCCCAGGCTGGTCCTCGTCCTGTCGCCGGCCCACCCGCCCCGACCCTCCATCCCTCGGGGCTGCTCTCCTGGCCGGAGGTGGTGGCAGGGCCATCGGGAAGCCTCAGGGAGGGGCAGCCGCCAGTCCCCGCGCACAGGGACAGAGGAGCCGTCTTTGGCTTCCTTCCAACCCCACCCTCTGCTTCCAGACACACTGCTGAGCCGTGAGGAGGCGCAGCCGGTCACCCTGGGGGTCAGTGGGCCTTGGGTTCCGGATCCCAGGCCCCTCCTGTCCCTCCATCATCAGCGCCTGGCCCACCTTCGTTACCCCCTTTAGTTGTCACATGAGTCAGACAGAGTATTGAGTGTATTTTTGTCTTAAGCCACATTTTCCTTGTTCTATAAATTTTACTGCCATGTGTCCCAGTACCTCGGAACGAGCTCCCCTCACTCGGCCTGGACTGACGCTGTTCCCCTAGTGGTCACGGGGTCAGGGAGGTGAGGGGCCCGGAGCGGTGGGAACCGCACGTACCTCTTAACAGGCTCCTTCGGGCCCCAGGCCCTGAATACTGTAGAGCCCTGAACGCTGGATTTCCTGTGCAAAGTCTTCCATACATTTAATAAACATCTCTTCAAAGACAGACCTAAATCGTTCCTCCCAGCAGAAAACTGAATTTTTTAATGCACTGATCGCCTGCGGGAGGCGTCTGCTCTGAGTCCAGCCTGTCTCAGCCGAGGATTTAATGGCGCCTGTGAGGCAAGGAGGGGAGAGGAGTTTGCTCAGGACTGGTTGCGAGGGAGCCTGTGAGCTGTGCGTCTCCGAGACCCGTCCGGACCGGGTGGGCCGTCCCGTCTGCAACCTGCGGGCCTGGCTCTCCTCTCGCAGCGCAGCTCCCAGGGGACGCCCCCCGCGTGGGCGCCGCCCCAGCCCGTGGGGTGGGGACCAGGAGGAGGATGCTGGGGCGCTTCACAGGGAAAGCTGCGTGACCGTTTGAGTGCAGGTTTCTGTGTGGGTCGGTTTCCACTCCCCTGGCCCAGACGCCCTGGCGTCACGAACGCTTGCCGGGCCATCTAGTAAACCCGTTGTTTGTTTTCAGAGGAACAGCCAGACCGTTCCCGGAGCGGGGACTCCGTTTTACTCGCCCGCCAGCAACGCCGAGAGGCCCGTGCCTCAGCCTCCCCGGCCGCGCTGGGCCCTGCGTCTCGGTGCAGTTCAGGCAGGCGTCGCCCTCGTGGCTTCCGGACGCTTGGCGGGCGCTTGTCTGCCATCGGCGCCTGCTCTTCGGTGCACCCGCGGCTCCTGCCCGCTTCTTCCCTGGGCTGCTTGAGGGCTTGTGTCTTCGCTGCTGAGCCTTGAGAGTCTGTGTATTATAGACCTCAGCCCACTTCAGACCAGCCTCGGGGGCTCACAGTGCAGAGCCGGCCCTGCTGAGGTCCGGTCGCCGACTCTCCCGTCGTGGGCTGTGCTTCAGTTCAGGGTTGAGAACTCTTTGCCAAGCCCTGGAGCCCAAGGGTTTTTCTCCTGTTTTTTTTCCTAAAAGGCTTGTACTTTTATGTTCTAGACTGAAGGTCTGACCCGTTTTGCGTCACTTTCCCCGCAAGGCGTGAGGTTCGTGTGGAAGTCCCCTTTCTGCCCGGTCGCTCCAGCCTCGTCTGTCGCAGAGGCTGCCGCTCCTCCCCTGAGCTGCTCTCGATCCTGGGGAGCGTGTTCGTGGGTGTGTTTCTGGGTTCTCTGTCCTGATGTGATGGTGTGTGCCGTCCTCCACGGGGACCCCGCGGTCCCGGCCCCTGTGGCCGCGTCACCGCCTTCACACCGCAGGTGACTCCCGCCCACCCTCCGGTCCGAGCGCTGTGGCCTTTCCCCGTGGAGCTCGGAGCACGCCCGTGGAGGTCTGCAGACACCCTTGCGGGATTTGCATAGGAGTTTTGCTGAGCCCGTGGGTCTAACTGGGGAGAGAGAGCAGCCCCCAGTTTTTAAGTCTTCAGACACCGGGTGTGAGCTGGGGCCACCATCCGGGTGACACTTGTCCTCAGACGGAAGCACCTGGCGGGCAGCAGCGAGACCAGCCAGGCAGCTGGAAGGACTCTGACCCCAGGAGCTCATCACTGACTGGTGGGGTTCCGATGTCTCTTCACCGTCCAGACGCTGTCCGATGTCCCCATCGGAGAAGAGGGGCTTTCCTGGGTGGTGATGACCCTCTGGTGATGATCAAACTGCAGTGATTAACTCCTACGTAAAAGTCTGTATGACGAACATTCTGTGATTCATTTTTACTTCAGTTTTGCAACATGGTTTCCGGGTTCTGCTTCATTCTTGTCACATTCATGTCATCTGGACAGTGCCTTGGTTGCAGTGTTCAGAAACCCGAGAGCTCTCCCACCTGGTCCTAGGTTAGCGCCTTCCCGCAGGAGTAACTCCCACTCGGCCTGTTGGCGCTCGCGCTGCCCCGTGGGGGCCGGATCGGGGCGGTGTGGTGACGGCTGTTGTGTTTTCACAGCAGAGCCCTCTGCCGTAATGCACTTCCCTGCGTCACGGGTCTGACTGGTGCGCTGACCACACTGGTCTCTCCTGGATTTGGGCCGAGCGTCTGGGAAATGACCTGCCTCAGAGTCACACTAATGAACACAGACCTGCCCGCAGCGTCCCCTGTGGGAGCCGCTGCACGAAGGCGGTTCATGGCGCTGTCTGTCTGTCTGTCCTGCAGGTCGGGGACATCGTCATGGTCAAGGAGGACGAGACCTTCCCCTGCGACCTGGTCTTTTTGTCCAGCAGCCGCGCAGACGGGACCTGCCACGTGACCACCGCCAGCCTGGACGGGGAGTCCAGCCACAAAGTAATGTGCCTGTGATTCGTGACCCGGGGCCCCCTTCCGAGCCGAGCGCGTGTGTCCAGAAGGGACACCGCGTGTGAGGTTCAGCAAGTGCAGGGAACCCGGCTGCTCTTCCCCCTCGGTGCCCGTGAGGACCCGCCTCTCAGGTTGACAGAAGCAACCCCGAGTCGCTTACTGGCTGTGTTGTTTAGCCCGGGTACCAAGTCCAGGGTGCAAGGAATAGCTTGTTGGAATTTTTAAGTTTTCATTTTACTGGTCAAAGTCAGGGACTTTACTAGACTGGAACTGTGTGAAAAGTGAGTCCAAATTTTGCCCGAGTATTCCTTCAATGAGTGTCTTTGTGTTAAAATATCTTAGTAAGGATTTGCTGAAATTATAATTAGTTTCTTACACTCAGGATGGAATTCAGCTGGTGCCACACAATTTTAATAAATAATCGAAAGAAAAACAAAAAACCACATCCCTGTTAATTTTGAGGATTCCAATGTTTAAAAACCTGGACGCTTCCGAGGAGCCTCTGGACGTGAGCTCGGCTCCGAAGGTGCTGAAGCTGCCTGTGGATGCGCTCAGCTCCCCCAGAGGGAAGGAGACGCTTTCTGTGCAAACAGCCCTGAAGGATGTGCTGGTCCTCTATGGACAGCCCTGTGGGGCTTCTGCGTCCACCTCCACATTGCCTTTGTAACCAGCCCCAAGAGAGGGCGCCCTCTGCACCACTGACCATCAGCAAGAAAATAGAAAGCGGAGGGTGTTCAGTGGCTGTTGGAGCACCTGGGTGGGGGTGGGGGTCGTGTTCTCATCCTCCCTGGCCTGGATGAGCCGCGAATCCCCGGCTGCGGGCCGTGGGCCGCCGCCTGCACCCCCCAACCCTGGAGGGATGTCCTGCCCATACTGGCCCCAGCTCCACTGCCAGCAGATGCCAGGGGGTCCAGGGGCATCACTGTTTTCGGGGTAAAGTTTGGTGGCAGCTGCCCTGGTCCAGACGTGGCCAAGGTCAGGATCATGCTGCACTTGGACCTTCGTGTGTCTGTGCTCGGGGCCTGGGGTCATCTGAGCCCTTTCCTTGAAAGCAGAGTGGGCGTGGGACACCCCCGCCCTGGTCATGTTTTCACGTCCATAAAATGGACACAAACCTGTCTTCCAGGGGCTCTTGGGAGGAACTCATTAGAAAATTCCCCAAAGTGCTGGATACACACACACCCCCAAAGCGGCACAGATGTGGCCGCGGGGGCTGCTGGGATCGCGTCCCCTGCTGCTCTGAGTCACCGGAGAGACACGTGCCCTCTCACCAGCCCCAACGCTGTCCCTCCCCATGTTCATACCCCCAGTGCCTCCTGGGCTGGCTTCCCAGGACCGGGTCGCAGACCGGCAGCAGCAGCTTACCTGGGATCAGGGTAGACGTGCAGGTCTCGGGTTCCGCCCCAGACCCACAGCCCAGAAACTCCAAGGCGAGGCCAGGGGGTCCATGCCCGACCAGCCCTCCCGGGCATCCCGAGGCCCACCTGGGGCCGAGGCCGGGTGAGGGTCTGGGCGGGTACGCTCCCCGGACAGGGACCGGCAGGGCATTTGTGGTGCCTGCGACAGCTCTCTGTAGACAACAGGGAATCGTATAAACAGGAAGGAATATTTTAGCTCCTGAGTCTGTGTCTGAGACACCACTGCGGGGTTAAATCGAAGCGCCCGGTTCTGAAGAATTACCAGCATTGCCATGTGTCCTTTTACCTTTAAGTGGGGGCTCTGCTAAGGATGGAAGAGGCCTGGGGCCTGACAGACTCAGGAACAGCAGTGGCCTCATAGTTCCGTAACTGACTTATATTCACAGACTCCTTCCTGTAGGTCTGGTCCCGTGGGGTCATCGGGCTGTTTACACGCATAAACGGTGAAGCTTGGTGCTGCCGAGGACGGCAGGCACCTGCGCTGGCTTCCTGCTGGTGGTTGTGGTGTGAATTCGCACTTTCTGTCCGTCTGCAGACCCATTATGCAGTTCAAGACACAAAGGGGTTTCACACTGAAGAGGACGTCGGCGGCCTCCACGCCACCATCGAGTGCGAACAGCCCCAGCCCGACCTCTACAGGTGAGCCGCCTGCTGCCCGCCGCCCCGCTGCCCGCCCCCGGTCCA